CTTCCAGTAACCCAGGAATGGCTTTGCTCTTCACAGCTCTGAAGCAGCCCTGACAGTAATTCAAGTAAAAGGTGGCAAAGAGAGCTATCAGTAGTAAGATTACAGAGATAATTCCACAGAAATGTTGGAGAAGGTAGGAGATGGTATAAGCAACATACCAACTCCAGCCATCCTCCACCCTCCTTACCACTTGATCTGGAGAATAGTTCATGGATTTCTCTGGGTCCATGTGCATGAAATCCACAATGCCAGTGAAGTAACACAGAAATGTCAGTTTCATTCCGAACGGGGTCACCTAGGAAGTGGAAGGAAAAGGTGTCAAAGTAAATTTGCACTCACGTTTTCATGCAGCACAAACAGAGAGCAGTTCACACATTTCAGGAAAAGGCACTCTTGGTGTTAATCAACAAGCACATCATAAGAGGCAGGAAAACTGCTAAAAATTCTGCTTTGAACACTATGTCGCAAAAACAATCCTTTAATTTTTTGATAATGCTGTGTGTACCACGAAAACTACTGCTATGCTGTTGAATACTGTACCTAGGAAAGGCCAGAGAAGCACACAAAAAGGATCCTGTTCTGCTTCAAGCTTCATCACCAGCTTCAGACTGAAGCCTTTATACTTATGGCATCACAACCAGAAGAGAGATCAGGCCTCAGGTGATTGTGGTGGAGGGAGTGTCTAGCAGGTAACATTTTCTGCTAATGTTAAGAGCCCAAACAGAATTGTTCCACTCCATAAACTTGTCTCTGTTTCACCTGCCTCCTGCCTTCAACAAGGCTCAAAAGAAACCCAAACCAGAGCTTACCTTCTGCACTCGAGCTTTCACCACCAGCCCTGGCAGTAAGTTAGAGAGCGCCCAGTTCTGTTTCTCTGTGGCGAGGGATGCAGCAACCTCTGACCGATCAATGGACAAACGGACCACTCTGCCCTCGTTCTTCACTTCCACGATGACACAGGTCAGGTTCTGGCCTATTTTCAAGTCAGGCCCTACAAAGACAAGTCACAGCATAAAACCTCCACCAGGAACACTCAGGGATTCCCTTCCACTCTTCCCAAAGCTTTTTCAGAGTTCCCTCTATTTTAAAAGGTTACAACTCCTCTCAATCTAAGTGAAGTTTACCGCCAGCAGGGAGGGATGGGCTTGGAACACTGATGTGGTCTGTAAGAACCCAGACTGAAGCACAAAGGCTTGTTGCAGACCAGCCACAGAACAGCTATTTTCAGCGACCTGCAAAGACTCCACCTTGACCCAATCCCACTAACACTACAGACGTAACACACTTTAATTCCTGTAATTCTCCACCTCTATTTTAACCCCAGCAGATCCTCCTGCACTCCTTTTTACCTCTCTTAAGTGCTTTGATGTAATTTTTGGCTTTCTCATGAGGAAGGAAAGCATGAGTCCCACTGACTCCAATATCTATGAGGTAGCCATGGTCTTCCACGCTAGATACAGAGCCAGAGAGCAGCTGTTGGGAGGGAAGCAATGCAACTTAGTAACATGACAAAATAGCTGAGTCTTCAAAGAACACATATCTGGTAAGAGATCCCCCCTTAAGTACTCACTTGTTTTATATGTACAGAAAATGGAGTTTTCCAGAGCAGCAGAAAGAACACTACATTCTTTCTTACTACACAGTTCATCTGGCAGTGAGGTCTCAACTCTACCCTTATCCAACTATGCATGTATGAAGCTCACAAACCAGCAGGAAAAAAAATTGTGATGCTCAAAAATAGCAGGTGCTCTAATTGCAGGCACATGCCTACAGTCATACAGGTGCAAACACAAAACCTAAACAACCAAGCACCTCTGCAAGGCACGTTAAATATCACTCTCCACAAAAATAACAAAGAAACCTACTCAGGAAGAAATCATTAAATAGTTTGTGCATATTGAAACAGAATCAGGTGAACGGATTTCATGAATGACCACCTAAAGATAAGAACCAATACCACTCTCTCCTCTCCACTTCTCTTCCACAGCAGGAACAGCTCCACATGCTGCTCTGATCCCATGCAAGCAAAAACCAAAATGTTCTCCACACACTGAGTAAGAGCCTAGAGGGGCTGTGACAGACCCAGAAAACATACCATGCCTGTTGCTAGTGCTGAGGCGGTCAGGCCCTTATTGACCTTCTTGGGGTCAATTGATAATTTGATGCTGCGACGTCCATCGTCACTTTTCTCAACGCTGGTCACGATGCACCTGACCAGTGTCCCTGGAGAATACATGTCCGGGAGTGAATTCAAGCCCTGCCCAGAAATATAAGAAGGACAGAATTTGTTACTGAAGTAGCTTTTGAAAACAAAATCCCATAGGAAAGTCCTGTTTCTCTGTCAACGCTACAATAAAAAGCAGGGAATGCCACACATGGCAGAATCTCAACAGAGAGGCAGGGATGACACTCTGTTATGTCAGCAAGACTGAGAGGCTTTGCTTAAAAACAAACACCTCAGGAAACATCTCCAAAGCTTACGGTGACACTACTCTCCTCTCCCTCTTTAGCAGAGAAAAACATCACCACCAAAGGGGTAGTGCAGATCCCATAGCCACACCACCTTGGGAAAACTTATGGACTGCTGACACCAGAGACAGGATAACAGATTACTCCATGCTCTTTCTTTCTAGCAATCAGCTATTATCAGGATAATTGCAAAGTTTGCTTGGAAAAGTAGGTTCCAAAACAAGGTCAGTCTATGTTAGCACCATGCAGCAGCACATGGCATGTGCCAACATACAACTAAACTGCAAGGACCATGTTACTCCTCGGGGCCCTGAGAAATTCTTCCACCCTCACATCATTTTCCAGTCGCCTCCCTAACTTCTTCCCATTGTTGCCTACAGCCAGGGACGAGTATTTAGCTTCAGCAGCACAGAGATAACAAAAAATCTCTTCATGTTCAACAGGCTGTTTACAAAGCTCAAGGATTATTTAGCCAAGGCTAAGGGCTGCAGGTGATCAAAATCAAGTCACCTGTGAGACCGGTGACCAGACATCAGGCTCCTGAGCAGGACCTCAGGGTTGGTTCTGAGGAATTGTTAATACTCCTTGGCTTCAGGCACAAATCACAGCCCCAGCCCAAGGTCTCACCTCCGGGAGTTCTCCCTGGGCCACCTGCTGACTCAGCAGTTTGCTGTAGGCGTCGCTGATCTGCGTGATCGGCACAAATCCCGAAAGGCCACTGGGCAAACTGATGACCAGCTCGTAGTCACTGACCTCCTTTATGCACCCAAGCAGCAGCATCTCCTCACAGAGTGCCTGGGAAAGCAGGAAGAATAGCACACTGTGGGCATCTTGGCAAGTCAGTGATAACAGGATGATAAACACGCTCTTGTATTGAATTACTGATACATTTTACGGATTTAGGGGAGGAAGAAAATGCCATTTTTATGCAGTCCAGGAAAGAGATGCACACAAATTCAAACATTTATGCACCAACCTGAATCGTGAGTGGTCCAATATTCACAACATTGTCTTTAGCAGTGGCTGTTTTGTCTGCCTTGAACTTTTTCTGTTTTCCTTGATCCTTTTGGCTCCTTTTTCTTTTCTGGGATTTTTCATCATGGTGAACCTAGCAGTTTATAAGCAGAGAGGGAAAAAATAATAGCAGATAAAGAAACAAACTTTGCACTAAGGCAAAACTCTGCTGCCATGAACAAAACCAGAAGAAAATGCTAGGACTAGAGGAAAAAAGAGAACTGCTTTGTCTGTCTACAAGCGTTACAAAGTATCTTCTTTGGACTGAGGCTGATTATTTATAAAATCATAAATCTTGGGGATGGAAACAAATGATCTGCACTACACTAACACTCTACTAACAGGAGAAAGACCAAATTTACCCTATATCCAGTAACATCACCCTCACAACATAGCACTTTGTGATAAGATGTTTGTGGAAAGTTTAAAAGCTAAAGCCTGGTAGACAATTTTGACTGAAATTTCTCTGTTATCACATTCAACATCCATCAGATGTTAGGGAATCTTTAAGAGATCAGGAGAAAGGTTAATGTCAGCAGTCATCTATTCCTGGGAGTGCCTTCTACAGTTTACTGCAGAAGTAACAGTAGGAAGGATTGCAGGTCAAATTCTGACAGTGGAAGAGCTCTGAGAAGTTAATCAAGAATGTGCAAACAACGTACATCAAACAAATTGTCCCGCTCTAACTCTGGCTTGGATGTTTTTCCCTCTGCAGGTTTTTTCTGGATACCCCCTCGAGGAAAGTTTTCTTCCAAAGATGCCATGCTTGTCCTGCTCCGGAACAAATTATAAAACAGAGATGAAATGTGCAACTTGTTCCTCACAAACACTGAAGAGACATAAGAGTGCACTACCCCCAAGCAAAGGAAGATTCTGGATGTATGCATATACAGATGTACACTTAATGCACCTGTAACCTCACTGTTTCAATCTCTAAACAACACCTTATTTGTCAGGTCGCAATGAACATGTTATTACTACTAATAAACAACAGTATTACTAGTAGCAGCTGTTATTAATTATTACTATAAATAATACTAGTGTTATTACTTATAATGCTTGTACTATTACTTATATTATACTTATATTACTTATACGACTATTATTTGCCAACTATTAGCCAACTATACGACTATTATTAGCCATTAGTAATTCTACAGAAACCAGCGCTGAAACACTATATGCTGTGTGTCAGACATACAAACCCCCTATAAATGTGAAAACACCCCACAAAACTACAGTTCATCAAGGCACGCTTCACCTCAGGGCTCGCCAACCAACATAGGCAGCTCCTCGCGGCCGGCAGCAGAGCCCCGCCGGAGCGGGCAGGGCTGACGCTCTTCCCTGTCCCGGGTGGCTCCCGTGGGAAATCCCGGGCGAGGACAGCAGGAACGGCACCGGGAGCGGGAGGCGCACGCGGCGCACCGAGCGGAAGCGGCGCGCGGGGCGAAGGGCAAAGGTCGGGCGGAAGTGGCGTCACTGCCCCTCAAAAAAAAGGGGCGGGAAGGACCCGCCCCCCGCGCGGGCTGCAGCCAATCGGCCTGGGGTGGGGTGGCTGCGCGCGCCGCTCGGCGGCCGCCATCTTGTGGGAGGGCAGAGGCGAAGGGCAGAGCGCGGCGGCAGCGACCGAGGTACTGCGGGACGGGGACAGGCCGGGGCAGGGGCTGGTCCGGTTCCGTTCCGTGGGGCGGGAGGGCGGCTCTGTGGGGAGCCGGGCCGAGGCTGTTCCCTGGGGCACCCGCGACCTTCGGCGGCGCCGCCCCTTCCTCCGTGTCCCTTCCCGGCCCTAGGCGAGCGCGGGGCCGCGGGTGTGGGAGCAGCCGGCGGGGCCCGGGGGCCGGGGTGAGGGCAGCAGGGCAAGGGCACCCGGCTCCTCCGGGAGATAGGCGCTGTGTGGTGCCTTCTCCCCCTTGGAAGGGCGCAGCGGCGCCTTTTCCGGGCTTTTACATCTGTCAGGCACGAGAAACGATGACCTTGGCTCTCCGAAGTCTTTCCAAGTCGTTTGCGGCAAACGTTTAGGGGGGCTGTTTCATTAAGATTTTTAAGTATGGTATAGTCAGTCCAGTTACCCTTACCTGGTTATAAGCCAGAAGTAACACTACCGGATTGTGTTAAATAAGAGATAGATAATACATGAAGGCTGTTTCAGTGACTACAGCATCGGCTGTGTAGTTTCTTGTATCTTCCTCGGGGGTACCGGTGGCTGCAGCATCTGCCGGGTTGAGTGGGTGACTGGAGGGTGTGTGGTGCTCTTGGGGTGAGTCGGGAAATTAACAACAAATGTTTGTCCTAAACATAAAACCCTCTTAAGAAAAATGTATCTCTAAGCATTCAAAAACCCCACCCTGCTCTTATTGTACGGGTGAGCAAACACTGGAACACGTTTCCCGGAGCACTTGTGGAGTCTCCATCTCGGAAAATGCGACAAACCTGACTGTATGTGTTCCTGGGTTCCTGTGTAAGCACTTCTGAGGCTTTGTAGCTGGCTTTAGTAATTTTCTGATCTGAAAAGTAACTGGGGGGAAAAAAAGTGTTTTTATACTGGGGTGGGAAAGTAAGGTGCAATAGAAGTGCACAACTGAGAGCAGAGCAGTTCTAATTAACAACCCTTGCACTCTATTTTGGTGTAAAAGTTGCAAAGTGGCGTTTTGAATCACAAAACAGAGTAGTGGCCTACCCTGAATCTTGTCATCAAGCTTTTGAGTATGTAATTGAAGCTGTTTCTTAGCTGAGCTAGCGAAGATTGATCTTAGTTGTGTTGCCGATTTCAGAACAATCGGCAGAAATTTGCCTGAGTTCAGTGGTTGTAGGCAGGACTGGCAAGTCTCTTCTTTATAAGTGCTTTGAGGAATTTTCCCTTTTATAATCGTCATTCTCTTTTTTTCATGTTTAAACTTGGTTGAATGAAGTCTGAAAATCATAAATGTTCTTCCCTTCAGAACCCCTCATTTGCGCATCTGCTCATGTCAGCTGTTTTGTACCTCAAGATACAGCACTCTGGATGTGCCTGCTCCCTTATGTGTGTCCATTGCTGGTTGAATGTCCTGAAAGCAGGTTTAGTAGCTGACAATGGAATGGTGGAGCTTGGTGTAGAGATGGATTTGATTTTCCTATCTATCCTGTCTAACTGACTTTAAATTAATTGACTGTTCTGTATTGCTTGTTAGGACAAGCAGCCATGGCTGGCCATGACTCGGGATCTCAACACCAGTTCACCGGATTTCAGAAGTACTTTAATTCCTATACAATCATAGGCAGGAGGAATGTACGTATATGTACATGAAGTTTTGTAGTCTAATACAGTGGTGTTTTCTGGGGTTTAGACTGAAACTAAATTTAACTTGATGTTTTCCAGTATGTAATAGCGACGTACACAGCTGTTGCACTCATCGCCTTGTATTTCAAGTTTAGGCCTAAGAAGCAAACTCCTGCTGTGGCAGATAAGTAAATGGTAAGTGCCTGATGTTCTTCCAGGACCAAAATGCTTCAATGCCAGCTCAGGAAGGAGTGATGAAGGACAAGTTGCCAATAAGACAGTCCAGTGAGAGAGAGATAAACATAGGCATGTGAATTTCGTATTTATAATTTTAAACCTCAAATAAACTATAGCATCAACTTATTTGAGGGCATTCTGGATGAAGTGAGCTATTAAAGGGAGTGAAAAAGTATGGCATCAGTATGCATCTTTTTCTTCTGACATGGTAAATGGGACTGGGGCAGGACACAGGGAGGAAGAGAAAGCAAGGAAAGAGGAGTGGAAGAATGTCGCAGCGAGGTACATCGACGTCTGCATGTGACTATTAGGTGCCTCTGGTCTGTGCTTTTGCTGTAAAATAGGGATAACTTGCTTTGTAGGTTATTGAAATAATAAAATAGTACTTGAGGACTTCTTGGTTTTATTAGAATTCCAAATAGAGATTAATGCATTCTGTTAAAACCTTCCTTCAAACCAAGTAAAGGAGCACTGTGTGATGTATTCAAGGCCCATGCAGAAGTGGCTGGACTTGTATAGCAACAACCAAGTGTTACAGAATTTTGGAGTCACTTTCAAATACGGGATTTTCATGACAAAATGCAAGCTATGGGCTGTCCTCATAGCCTGCAAAAAGGGGTATAACACAATAAGCTTGAGCACTGTTGTTGTGTGTTAAGGGGACATCAGTCACTTCTTCCTGAGTGTGCTGAAACCTGTTTGCTCGTAATTAAAATTGTTTGGGCTTGGGGCAGGGGGATTCTCGGTTACCACGGTGCAAGACTTGCTATGTTTGATCTCTGTTCTCTTGGCAGGTTGCTGGCATGTCGGAACCTCTGATCTGTGTCAATGTAACGCAAGCTGATGGCCTGTTGTGCTAATAAAATATAAATAATTACTTGTTTTATTGGAAATATGAAATGGTGCAAAAAAGCTCATGTGTGGCACTTCTCTTTTTTTCTTCTGTCAAAAATAATTATTTGTAGTGGAGATGGAGCAGCTGATTCCCATCATTACTGTTTAGGATGTGTTTCAACAGCAGCAAAGTTAAAGTCTTCTGAGCTCCCAGCACTAACATAGGAAGTGTTCAAGGGCTTTTTTTTTTTAACCTTAAAGGCATTTGTACGTGCTGGCCCTGCGGAATAAATCTAAGTTATTTTCCTGTCCTGTGAGCATGTTTGCTGCACAGATGGCTTCAGCTGTATTCAGTTTTCTGGCTGAATAATGGCGGTTGTACAGTGTAATAAAGTAGCTAGAACCTGTCACCCACCTTCAGAACAAGATTTACATGAAATGGCTACTCATCAACTTAACTATTTCTGATTACTTTGTTTCTGTTAGCAGAGTGCTCACAGTTACAGGCACCACTCTTGCCTCCCCTTGCAGCCATCAAGGGAAGAAAGTATCTTCTTGTAACATATAGGCACAAACTATGAGGGTGTAGTATTTATTGTAATATCAAAAGTATAAAACTGTACAAAATACAAAGGCAGAATGTGGCAGTGTTTTCTTTAAGCTGTCAAAAAATTGTACTTATATCCAACTCGTCATACTGAGAGCTAGGAAATTTTGAGGTACCATTACACAAATAAAAAAATTCATAATTTAGTTTTAACCTTTTTTCTTTAAAGGAAATTTCTAGGTGAACTTTCTAGTGACTTTGCCACACTTTATTTTGATGCATAATGCCTGCAGAATAACTTTACTTCAAGAGTTAGAGCCCGACAAGAGATGAGAGGGGAGGTAGTTCTCCATTTACTCGGCCTTAGAAATGACACATCTTGTTTTTATTTTCACTAGAGAGCCAGCAGAGTGTTTAAGTGTTCAGGCCCTTCCTGGGAAGTGATAAGGAACACAACAGATTTCCCTGCATACATCTTGTAAGAGATTAAAAATGAGAACAAACCCACACCACACTGGGCCTGGCCTTCAGTGAGGGCAGTTTCTGTTTGAAATTAGACCTTGGTTTCAATGTTCTGCATTTTTCAGTCTTCTTTAGAAATAAAGAAATAAACCACTGATCATTACTGGTTGCTCAGGAGGACTCACTGTGGTACAATGTTTTTGTGGGTGGAAACTGTCACTTCAGCAGACAAGCTGGCCTTTCAAAAGCAAACTGATCATACACTTATCCTTTCACTCTGCTATACTCTTCCAATTTCTTAGCTTTCTTACATTTTTTTATGTTAAAGCTTATGCAGAAAGGACACAAGTTTTAAAGTTCTTTTAGATCTAATACAAAGTAAAGGGTTTAAATCCGCTTTTTTAACAAGTGGGTATTTCAGTTGTGCCTCAGTCCCCTTTTTATTTTCTCATTCAATAAAGTATGAAAGTAAAGTTCATACTGTGCTTCTGGTTTCTTGTCACACTGACAGTACTGGCTACCTGTGAAAAACAGAGTAACAAGATCTGTGTTTCTGACACCTCAAGAGAGCACAAAGTTTGAAATCTTTTCAGGACTTACTACTTGGCTGATAAAACTCGTGCCCGGAGCTTCACGGCAGTGCCATGACCACAAGCATCGGAGTGTCAGAGCGGCTCTGTCAATGCCCTGGTTGTTGCTGTGATCTTCTCACCACACATGCTGCCCAGCACAGGATACAGTGAATCAAACTACATTCTTCTTTCCTGAAACTGGACAGTTTTTACTTGTGTTTGAGACTGATGAAACATTTGCTAACCATAAATTAAGTGCTTTAAAAAATTCATCAAGGCTGTTAACTTCTCACAAGTTTCAGCAGAGCTCAGTGCCATCTCTGAGAGGAGATGGCTCATTTCATATATGCATATATGTGTATCAAAAGCACCACGAACAGTTCCTTCTTTTACAGCCACGATGTCTTGTCAATCCCCAGCATTTTCAAACTGCAGATAAATATGAAACAGCAGAACTGAGAAATGCTGCCTGCATTAATTTACACAGTTTCATCTTCGCTGCAACAGACTCGTGGGGATCCTTGTGTATAAGACATTTCTTCTTGTCTCACATCACGAGGTCAGTACTGCAATGCCTTGGCACAGGCAGTCTCAGCTTCCCACTTTACTGTGAACTGTAGGCTCCCGCAGCCAGCAGCAGGTTCCTGCGTGTGAAATGGAGATGAACAACCGGGGTTGATTTGGTCATGTATGTACCCAGTAACAAGTCCTGTGAGTTTTCAGGCAAGTTTATGTGTCCAGTGGCTGTAGTAAAGTCATCAGTTTCTAAATCTTCAAATGCCTTCACAGCATCCCACAGACGAACTGTGTTATCCATAGAACCTAAAAAAAAAACCACAACAGTTTATTTTATTAATAAAATTGTATATAAAAAAAGTTGCTGGGGAGCATGTTAACAGAAGTAGAAGTTTAGAAAGCACAAGACTATAGCAAGGATCTAATATACAGCATATACACTTAAAAGTTACCAAGATTTCAGCTTTCTTGTAGTCTAACCTGGATGCCCTGTAGGCAAGGCAAAAAGAACTGCTCTCAAAACACCTGGGTTTGGATCACATCACCTACCACTGAAAAAGCAGGACCATCCTGTGGGCTGGATGTCAACTGCAGGTAAAGTTTATAATTTAAGAGGTTTTTGTATGGTTTAAGGAATACAGTAGCATTTTGCAAGCTCAGTGGCCTGTGCTTTCACCAGAGCACTGGCAAGTAAATTGGAATAACCACTAAGCAGGCTGGATCAAACCTGTACCCTATCTGTTAGCTTTCACTCCTACAGCAGTAGCTCCCAGAGGATTCTCACTGCACTGCATTTAGGAACATATTACTAAACAAATCTCGAATATTCCTAGTCTGGTTTCATGAGGAAATTACCCTCATGTAATTAGTGACTGGCCATCCTTTCTTCAACTTCTTGGCTAATTTCAAGCAGTTGACAAAACAGTAAGTTTCAAATTATTGAAATAACTACACATTTTAAGAAAACAGTTCACTGAATATAGAGAGACAAAAACAAAACTTTGTGCCTCCATGAAGGGAAAATTGGTAAAGGAGCTCTGGTACATTAAACACCTGAGAACCTATGTGGACAGGAAGGAAAAACAAGCAGGCTTCACAAGTTCTGCTGCTCATGGACCTGTTCATTAATATTGTATGCCCATATCTACATCAAAAATCTACCATGAAGAAATAGTAAGGGTGTGGATAACTCATATTCCTTTCTATCCCTTCCTCTTTCTTTAGTCCTTCTGCATTCCAGTCCCATCCCATTCCAGTATCCTGCACCTCTCTGGTCCAGCCACTTTTTGTCTGCCCTAGGGTTATTGCTTCAGATTCCGTCCCCAACACTGTACAGATTTACAACCTTCACTATCGTCTAAGTGCATGTGACACCTTTCCTTCAGATCCTGGAAGAGCGAGGGGTCACACTTCAGTGAAGTGCTCACCTCTGTACCAGCAGTTTTCAGTCGCTGCTTTTGCAAAGCAAGTAATTCTTTTTCTTTATTTAAGGAACCAATTATATCATTCCTGTTCAGACTTAGGGAACACAATGGAAACTTCACTGTTTCTTGTGAATTTTACCTGATGCTAAAATCTCCCCATCTCTGCTGAATCTGAGCGCGTAGATTGTGTCAGTGTGCCCTTTCAATTCGCCAACCATCAAGCCATGTCCAATATCCCATAGCAGAACTCTTCCATCTGTTGCTCCAGTAGCCAGGAATCTTCCATTAGGAGAAAATGCCAGTGAATGAATTGGTCCCTAAAACAGACATTGAGGGGCAATCAACCAAGAGAATTAAGTCTACTCACATTCAGTCAGTCACGCTGTGTTTGCTTGAAACATTACTGTTTAGAATCTCACCAGAGAAATGAAATCTCTTTTACACTGAATGATATGACTTACCTTATGTCCAGTGAATATTCTTACACAATTCCCATTCAAAACATCCCAGAGCCGTATAGTCCTGTCTGCTGAGCCTGTGGCAATATAGTTGGAATTTGGATGAAATCGTGTACACGTGACATCAGCAAGGTGGCCAGCAAATATCCGTAGTGGCTGGTAGTGATCTGTTGCCCACAGACTGAAAAGAAAAGCTTTTTTAATAAAAAGAACTCTAAAGAAGTTCAGTACCTGTACCTGTGGGAGCAGCTCCAGAGGAAGCCACAAACATGCTCAGAGGGCTGAAGAGCCTCTCCTGTGAAGAAAGGCTGAGAGAGCTGGGGCTGTTCAGCCTGGAGCAGAGTTGTCCCTGCTGAGATCCTACTGGGGCCTTTCAGTACTTGTAAGAAAGATGAGGACAGACTTTTTATCAGGACCTATTGCAAAAGGACAAGGGATAACAGTTTTAAACTAAAGGAGGGTAATTTTAGACCAAAGGAAGAAATTTTTATAAATTTCTTTTTATGGTGGTGAAACACTGGCACAGGCTGCATAGAGACGTGGTGGATGCCCCATCCCTGGAACATTCAAGGTCAGGTTGGACAGGGCTCTGAGCAACCTGATCTAGTTGAAGATGTCCCTGGTCATTGCAGGGGAGTTGGACTAGGTGACTTTAAAGGTCCCTTCCAACCCAAACTATTCCATGATTCTATGACTTGTAGCTCAGTTAGAAATAAAAGTAATTATGGAGTGGTTTCGTACAAGTCAGTTTATTAAATTAGCAGGAACTTTTTTTGAAAAATACACCTCTCAGAGGAGAAAAATAAAGAAAATTCTATGAAGCTGGTAAACATCTGGAAAAGAATACTTCTAATCAGAGGGGTCACATAAGAGGACATCATCTCTTTAGTCATCAGATAATATGATGTGTGTTGAAAAAATAGTAAAACTACATTAAAACATTAATTGGCATGAAATAAAATTCATTTTCAGTTATATCAACTAATGACTTACAGGGTTAATCCACCACAAACTAACCCAGACAAATAAAAAACACATCCAGTTTCTTACCGAGCCACTCTGTCGTGTCCCCCTGACACAAAGTAATAACCATAAGGAGAGA